TCTCATATTTGTCCATTTTATCTAGCTACTTTATTTTTCATTCTCCTCTTTTCTGTAGTTTTCCAATTCTCTCAACTATTCTAATTCTCCGTATTTCCTTTCACTGAATTTATCCTAACAAACGCGAGAAACTGTTTAGAGAAAAAAAAACTACGATTTATTCTTTTTTTCTAAGTTATAAACGCGGAACGCGAGCTTCAACGATGAAATTTCAATGGAGAGACAGTCGTGGAGAAAGAAAAGAAAACCTTCAATGTTGTTCGTTGAATTACGAAGGAGACAAAAATAGGGAGAACGTTGGAAGAGAGTAAATTGTTTCAAATCGATCTGATTGCCTCAATCAGTCCTCCAGGCGCATCGAAATAACAGGAAGGGTGAATAAAATATTGGCACCGATCGAGGGTCAAGATCTTCGTCGCGCTGTCCTCCGTGCGATCGATGGAAAGGGGATGAAGGCCGTTTGGCGTCGCCGATCGGGAAATATTTCGAAAAATATTAGCCCGTTTAAAGTGTTCCACGTTCCATTTTCACTCCTCTTGTGCTTTAATTATCGTCGCTCGCCAATTTACCATTAGGAGGGAAAATTTCGTTTGGCAGACGACACGTCGTCTGACGGGGGAGTTGTCCGTGAACAGAAAATACTTTCGGTGGAAATTAGGCCGAGTGGCGGACCTTGTTAAGCTCTTTTATTGACGCGAATAAGGGCAAGTCTCGTTTCAAGGTGAAAATAGGAATAGGGGACGAATCCTGGGGCATTTTTAACGTCTGGCAACCCTTTATATTCGGAGCTGAGACTTTTCTTTTTTTCTTTTTTTCTTTCATTAAATTTTCGCTATCAAATATATCAGATATATATATATTTTGGTATATTGTAAACGTAGGGAAGAGAAAAATGAACTAATGTAATTTAATGTACGAAATTCAAAATGAAGTTGAAAAAACTGTGATTTTGATGATGACTGATATCACGCCGACAAAGCTGATTGATATTTAGATATTAGTCTAACAATCTATTGCGTTTTGTATTATTATGTTATATTAGTATATAATCTATATATTATAATATAATATGATGATAGTACAATAATATACAGACTGTTAAAAAAGTACTCGCCAACATAGATCCCAAGAGCAATTATTTCGACAAAAGATCAACTTAATTGTTCATTAAATTTCTACCAAGTAAATCTCCTCGTGATACATGCTAAATGTTTGATCGAAGGAAGGACACAAGAGGAACCGAAAGTTGTAAACACAAGATTATTATGTTACTATGTTAGTATCAACAATCGATTGCCTCGTGAATGCGAGCGTAATACGAATCTTCAGTATTCATTCAGTTCGATTGAGTACAATACGATCGAGTGTTAATTACTCATTTATTATCGATTCATTAAAGATCTCGAATTCCCACCCGTCGATCGACAATTAGTTTATTTGAATTACACATGCACACGCAGTGCCTATTGATTCTGCTTAAACCTCTTACTCTGGTAACTGGTTCGCGGACCATAACGAGTGACCAAACAACGTCGTAATACAATAACTCGTCTTCTTTTTTTGAATTCATCGGTACATCGCTGGGATAAAAATTACTAGAAAGTATTAAATTTATTCTCTGTTTTGCCTAGGTTATATATTTCAATATACTTACAAACTTGATTGTGAGAAAATATGGACAATGTCACGCGAGAGAATCATTTGAATCGTTTGAAACGAGTAATTCATCTTCACTGTTAGATCGAAAGGAAACATCTCGGTCGTTAATTGCAAGTAAGGATCTCCCTCGATCGTGGAGAGATCGATATCCTGAGGTCCAAGCGGCGAACAAGCACGATTAATAATTCTCGCGGACGTGCGCTGTGCGATTGTCACCGAGAGAGATCGCCTAACACGTGCGACACCTTGGCCCACAAGGGGCGTTTGACCCCGTTTTTATCGGCGGACGAAACGCGCCTTCTACACCTCCCGCGCTGCTAACCGCGAGAGGGACAAGTGTCATTGGTCGCTAATGGATTGAACGCTCCGCGGCCGAGCAGAGGGAATTCTTTTTCATCGGGTGAAAAAATGTCAAATGAATCGCGTTCGGGAGTCCTCGTGGCTCGTACAACACCGTGCGATCGATTCTTCCTTGGGAAAACGAACCGGTCACACGCTTCGTTTAATTGCGTCTCGTTGCGATCGATCGACAGTTTTCTGGGAATTAAGGTCGACGTCGGACGATCCGATGAGCACTAATTAGAGTCGAGCTTTAATCAGAATCGCGAGGATTGACACTGGGACACTGTGTGCCTCTGTTCGTTCCGATCTCTTTCCCGATTGACGATTTTAACGCTTTGAGCGACAGGGATTTGATGCTTTCAAGTTGAAAAAGAAGCAAACTCAGACAGCAGCCCACGGAATGTGAATTTGAACTTTCAATTTTCTCGTATTGCCTCGATCGTAATGAATTATATGCTTGTGCTTTAATTATTAATTAATGCTAAAAGTCGCAGTTTTAAAAAAATAAAATTATAATATTACGTAAATGAATTTGTAGTTTGTCCCATAAATCTTTTATATAATAAAATTAGTTAAATAATAATATTTAATTAATTATTATTATATATATATAAATTAAATTTATTTAAAAAAAAGCTAGATATTAATAAATACGACAAACACTTAATTTCTAAATATATATTTATTTTTTTTTATTTTAGATCATTTACTTTAAAAGTAATTAAAATTATATACCCTGACGCGTCATGATAAGTAATGTTTACCGAAAACCGAGCGGGAAATCATTGTTGGTTCGAACGTAACTGCTTTTAACTTATATTTCACTGTCATCGGGTTCTTACGCCTCGAATCGGTTTTCCCAAACATCTCGCGTTTGTTCTAAATTTGTTTAAACTAAATTTTTGTCCATTTTTCGTATTATATAGGCGCAGTGTAAATAAACAGGAGGGAGGAACGAGAAATAATTGAAGAGGTTAATTTAGGCTCGCCGAGGCCCGTCTTCTCAAGAACCATCGTCTCGTTAGATTCACCTTGACCTTACGTCTCTCCTCCGTTGCGTTGTGAATCATTAAATAAACCGTTTGCTTTTACGAGGAAATTCTTTTTCTTTCTCTCTTGCATTCCTTTTTTTTACTTTTTTTTTTATTTTTTTTTTTTTTTGCTCCGTGGAAACGATGTAGATCATATTTTGAAGAAAATCGGTTGAAGCTGGATTAAAGTCAAGGGCGTTCTTCAATGTCTCTCTCTTTCTCTGTGAACTAGTCAATGGAAGCTTGGCTCGTGTTAAACGCCAATTGAATAAACGTTTTTTTTTTTTTTTTTTTTTCTTTTTTTACCTCTGCGTTAAGAATTTATTTTGAGCGAACTGGGTCAGTCGCGTTTAATTAAAACCCTACGTTTTCTACGCTCGCATCAGTCCAAATGCGTGCACGTGTCTCTCGGTGTCGTTTTTTTTCTTTTTTTTTTTTTTTTTGAAGAATTTTTTGCCACACTTTCAGTCGTCGTGAACGACCACGAAAGCCAAATTTACTTAATTTCGCCGTTTGACTTTCAAACTTCAAATTGTCTCTCCTTTTGTCTCCTACTCGACTTGGCTCGTTCCCACCTCTGTGTTTCTTTTCACTTTCTTGCACTTTCACCTCGTCAGCTCGAACTCTGTAACGCTCTTAACGACCGACGATAAAGACGCGTGTGAATCAATTGTCACGAACGTGCAGCGTGAAATATCAAAACGTCGTAAATCATCGAGCCTTCGTTCCAGAGAGAATCGTCGCCGTTCAAATAGACTCCTCCGGAAAGAGGTCCTTCGAAACGAGTCGAGGATCGCGCGAATTTCTTCTTCCCTGTTTCGTCGATGCGCGCAAGGACGCTGATAGAAGTGGATCATAAGCTCGGGTCGATCGATAGTGTCATCTCCGACGCTTCTCAAAGTCCGATACTCGCGGCCTCTCTATCTCTCTCTCTCTCTCTCTCTTTTGCACCGTGTGTGTAAAGTGTGTCCTGCGAGCTCTAACGGTCTTCTGCCTTGACCGAGTTGAGCGAGGTCCGTGTCAGACCCCCGTCTTGACTTTGACTCCGTTTTATCGTAAAAGTCATTTCCACGATCGTCGTTCGATCTCTCAATCGTGCCACGAGATCCGCGGCAAAAAGGATACACCAAAATGAGACACAATCTGAACGGCTTGGCTCGTTATCATCGTACCTCTAGATCACGATCTCTCCATTATGGTGCTGACTAACTTTCTGATTAAGAATACGTCTTTGCGACGTATATTATATGTTGGCAGCTTTTTACGTCGAATCGTTGGATTTTTCTTCCATCGTTTTCTTTTTTTCTTTTTTTTTTTTTTTTTTTTTGTGGCGAATACTTGAATACGAGAACGAAAGTCTCAGACTTTCAGAATTTCATGTTAATTGTAAATG